CGGGAAGGGGGTCTGGGCTAAGCATGACAAATCGGCAGATCATCTGCTCAATTAGGACCGAGAGCAGGTGCACGGGGCACGTTTGCAGCCTAGGACGGCATTGTTGTGGGCCAGAAAAATGGGCTGAGGGAAAAACACCTAATTTGCGTGACAGTGATTTAAAGCAGCTCAAGCTATGATTTTGCTAAAAGGGGTTTGGGGGGGAGCAAGAAAAATTTCAGGGAGGGGGCGTGGAAGAGAGAAAGGATGATAAAAAATAAAATAAAAGGCGAGAAAAGGTTGAAATTCCCCACGGTGCTCATTAAAATTCTACTGCGCGCGTCTCTTCCCGGGTCCCCCTGGACTGCCCATGATCATTTTTATTAATTCATAAAATATCGCACCAGTGATCGAGGCTGATGATTAGTAGAGCCGACAACAGAGGAGCTGGTGAAATATTGCAGCCACTTCTATCGGGTCTCTCCGAGTGAAAACACAACATCACATGAAAATTCATCCTGCAACTGGGCTGTGGGCAGCCAGGCTGGCTGGGGAAGCAGGCGGAGGGACCAGGGCATCTGATGTTGCTCCCGCCGCCCCAGCTGTCTCCCTAGACACCCAGTGGTATCAGCAGACATTTCCCATCCCCATCCTTGGCCTGCTTGAGACGGAAGTGTTCTTTAACCTCCCATACAAAATGGGTTGTCAAGCATTGGCAAGAAGCAGCTTGGAGGTTTCCAGAAACATAGCTCCTGGCTTGGCAGGTGTGATGGCTTGTGTGGGACGATGGCAGGACACAAGAGAGCTGAGATCTCCAATGCTTACCCTGGGCTCTTTTTGAAATGTCCAGGCCCCCTGCCCCTTCCCAGGAATTCCATTCTGTGGCGATAGAAGAAACCCATCCCTGTGTATCATATAGTACCATCCCCATTGGACAGGCAAGGAAACTTGTGGTTGGCCAAGTTTAAGAGTAAGATTGATGTCTCAAGGGTAGCAGGGACAGAGGTCCCGGTTGCAGGAAAAGCCAAGTCAAATTTTGGGTTTAGTTATAATGATCGATCATTCTTCTCTCAGGTTTCTACTGCAATTCTTTTTCCTTCTAGTTTCTGATGCCATTTGTACTAATTGTTCTATTCTTCATTTGAGTCCATATTTTAAGCCACATCACGTACTTTGTGATATTAGGTGGGAAGAAAGACTAGGTCACCTTTTCTCAGCACTGGCCTCACCCCAAAGGCTTATTAAATTAGAATCTCAGGAAGGGGGGTGGGCCCAGGAATCTGCATTTAACCAGCATGCTAGGTGAGTCTCACTCACTCCATTTTGAGAATCACGGGCCCAGAGACATCAGAGCTCAAAGCCCTGGCTGCACTTTAGAATCACCAGAAGACCTTGTGAACAAAACTAGCTCCCTAGGCCTCACCCCAGAGATACAGATTCAACTGATCCGGGATGAGACCCAGGTTACTGGTATGTGTTAAAAGATTTCCAGGTGTTTCCAGTGAGCAGCCAGGTTTGAGAAACACTCAGAAATGACAATACTAGAATAGTCTCCCTGATTTTATGCCCCAGTTCCCAATTACCAAATATGCTCTCACACACACCCATTTATACAGTGCCACTAAACTAGGCAGAAAAAAAATAAAAGAGGTAGCATGAATTACTTTAAATATATATTCATGATCCTATTTATTTTAGTCCTGGACAGAGAGTCCAGGGTAATTTGCATGCACAGATGAAATATTTCAGTTTTTACTTGGAAAATAGCAATGCTATCTATAATGTGGGAAGGATGTTCTTATAGGCTACACGCAAAATCCTTTTTCTTCTCAATTAGCTTGTGTAGACATCAAGCTTACTGGGCATACGTTCTGCATTTAATATATTTGTATAGCTTCTACTGGGATCATTTTAGGATTCTGAGTTCCCAAGTCTAGAAGGATACAAAGGCAGTTTTCATCTTATAAGCTTGATTTCAACTAAAACCTTGTTTCTCTTGAGCAAGTAGCTTAATTTTAGACTTAGTGGCAATATGAATTGTAAAACTGATTGCGGTAACTTCTTTGTTTTAGCCACTGGGAAACTCAGGGCCAAATTTGCCATTTCCATCAAGCAACGTTATGGTATATGCTGTGTATACTAACCTTCATCACCCCTTTCTGCCTTGTAAGTACGTAAATACGGATAAAGAAAAATTAAGTAAGTAGGAACTTGTTTTGGTACTTGTTGGATACTTGTCGATCAACTCCTGGACCAGAAGGTCACAAATTCAAATGCCTGTAGGGACCAGGCAGATAACATAAGTGAGCGGAATGGGCCTAGGGCACCCTAGAGAGGGGTTGTGAAAACTGGGGAGCACATACCCCACTTAAAGGTTCAGAAATTTAAAAAAAAAGTAACCACTGCATTGGTCAGTCAAAACACATCTGCAAGACAAAACTGGCCCCCTGGCAGCCAGTTCCCTAATCCATGGGAGAATGTCCAGGGCCTTGGCCCCCAGGACAGATAGATAAGGGACACTGTCCTCGTTTTGGAGAGATTGTTTACACCCGCAGCCAAATCTTCATCCCTAAATTTTCACTTTGGAATAACCATTCCAGCCTAAATGGGAGGAAAGGTATTACATTCCTGATTGAAGAGAAGTCGGTACCCAGGAAATGTTTGGTAAATGAGCTTTTGAACCAGGTTCATCCTTTCTGCTCCCAGAACTCTGCTCTGGAGTGTTGTGAGCTATTACAAAAGCAATACCTGCTCATTGCAGACAAAATAGAAATAAGGAAGCATGACAAAAAAGAAAACAAAAATACATATAGGTGAGACACATACAGGCAAGGGAACCACTTAGCGCCCCAGTGTATACATTTCAGGCAGGTGTGCGTGCTTGTGTGAGTATAGGACCTACATCTACTTTTATTTCCAATTTACATTCTTTGGGGAACTTCTTTATTCCAGGGAAGAATTTATTATTATCCTAAATTAGTTTCTTAGTCTCCTAAGGAATATAGCCGGATAGATGTGAGAATCACAAAATCTCTTCCAAAACCTTATTAATTAAGTGAAAAAATAAAAGAGCAAAAAGAAAGATCAGAAAAATACTTCATAAAATTTTAGAAGAAAACTTTCCTGAAATTAAAAGTTATAAGTCTATATTTTAAAGGGGAAAAAAATGCGGAACAAATAATACCACAACAGGACTTCCCTGGTAGCTCAGTGGTTAAGAATCCGTCTGCCAGTGCAGGGGACATGGCTTTGATCCCTGGTCTGGGAAGATCCCACATGCTGCGGAGCAACTAAGCCCGTGCACCACAATTACTGAGCCTGCCCTCTAGAGCCCACGAGCCACAACTACTGAAGCCTGCACGCCTAGAGCCCATGCTCCGCAACAAGAGAAGCCACCGCAGTGAGAAGCCTACGCACCACAACGAAGAGTAGTCCCCCGCTCGCCACAACTAGAGAAAGCCCGAGCGCAGCAATGAAGACCCAGCACAGCCAAATAAATAAATAAATAAATTTATTTTTAAAAAAGTCACTGGTCAAGAAGGAGAAAGACACCTTTAAAAAAAAAAACCACACATATCTTGATGAAGTTACAAAATGATAAGAGTATAACAAAATTTTAAGGTTATTCGGACTAAAAATACAAATCACTTCTAAGAAGCAAAGTCAGATGACTTCACAATTCTTCACAGAAATACCGTATGCCAGAAAACCATGTAAAAATATCTACAGAGTTTGGAAATGGGGGAGTAACCCCCAAATTTTATGCCCAAGCAAAATTTCCATTCATGTATAAAGCCTCCCTCCCCCAAAAAAGATACACCAAAACCAAAAGTTAGCACACAATCCGTCATAGACCCAAACCTAAGAGGGAAAACTTCAAAGTTCTAAAACAGAGCATAGGAGAACATCTTTGCAACCTGTTGCAAAGTTGTATTAGATAAGAGCGAGCAAAGATTTAGAAATGAAAAGGGGCAACACAGAATGGGAGAAAATACACTCAGTATGAATATATGACAAACGATTTGTATCTAGAATATAAAAAGAATACTTATGACTCAATAATAAAAGACAACTGAATTTAAAATGAGCTAATATTTGAAAAGACCCTTTACCAAAGAAGATATATGAAAACTCATATAAGCACATGAAAAATGCTCATCCTCATTAGTTATAGGGAAATGCAAATTATAACCACAAGGAGATAGCACTTTATATCCCTAGAATGTCTAAAATAAAGAAGACCGACAACACCAAGTGTTGGCAAGGATATGGACCAAGTAGAACTCTCATCCACTGTTGGTGGAAGTGTCAAATAACACAACCACTTTGGAAAACACTGTGGCAGCTGCTCAGAAAGCTGAACATACATCTATTATATGATCTAGTCATTCCAACACTAGGTAATTACACAAGAGAAATGAAAACATATGTCCACATAAGGATTTTGTGCGAGCACGTTCATAGCAGCTTTATCTGGAATAGCCCCAAACTGAAGACAATCCAACTGTCCGTTAATAGGTAAGCAGTTCAACAAATTGTGATATTTTCATGCAATAGGACACAACCAGCAATAAAAAGGAATAAACTCTTAATAAACACAACAACGTGGATGAATCTCACAGACATTACGCTGAGCAGAAGTCATATATGAAAGAATATACAGGTTTTATTATTCCATATATATGAAGTTTAAGAACAGATCAAAATAATTATTGTGATGGGGTTCGGGGAGATTGACAGTAAAGGAGTACAAGGAAATTTAGGGAGAGATGGAAATGTTTTATATCTTGGCTGTGATAACAATGGTTATGTGGGTACAGACATTTGTCAAGTCAACAGCTTTTATATTTAAAACAGAATGTGTGAATTTTATTGAATGGAACATGTACCTCAATAAAAGTATTGAATATAATTTTGTAAAAAAATAATAAACTTGGAAATATAATTATAATACATATGATGGATAATAAGAACTATTTTTCTTAGAATAAAAAGATCTCTTAAAAATCAATAATTTTAAAAAAATCAACCTCTTAGATCATTGGGAAGCAGATGTGAACCAGCAAATGAAAATAAGTCAATGAAGTACAAATAAATATGTGAAAAGACGCTCAACCTTACTTATAATTAAAAACACATAAAATAAAGCCATCATTTCTCACCCACTAGATTTACAAATATTAACAAGATTTATAAAACACAGTGTTTTCTGGGGTATATGGAAGCAATACTCAAATACACCTCATCATTTTACAAACGTGATTATTTTTGTAATGAAAAATTTCATAACAAAATCAGTTCATCTCACTCTTTTGTCCCAAACGACCTGATGACTCATCATTGCTTTTGAAAGTATATAGTCCTTAGCCTGGCAGCCAAACCCTCTACACTCTGGTTCAATATTACAGCAACAGCAGTATTTTTTGATGCACATTCTCTCGTTTAATCTTTCCGATAGCCCTAGGAAGTTGGGTCCAGCAGGTCCACTGCTGGACTCCCAGGACCTGGCGTAGTGTCTGGCACACGGTGGGTGTTCAATAAATATTCATAGAAGGTTGCCTGAACACCTTTATCACCTTCTTCTACGACCTATATCAAGTCTCAATCTATCTCACCTTTATGATGTGCCCACCCTATGAGAAATGTGGCCTCAGGTGAAAGAGCAAGTAGAAGGACTGGGATGCAAAGGTGAAGTCAAAGTCCCTCCTTGTGGCTGTGGAGAGCAAAGCTGGAGGTCTGGCCTCACGGCCAGGCCACTCTACCACAGGCATCTGCAAAGTATGGCCAGGATGCCAAGGGTAGCACCAAGATGACCTGGAACAAGTGGGACAGAACTTCCAAGTTCATCTTGGCTTCTTCCCTATTCCTTGAGTTCCTCTCATTGCTGAAGACCTTCTCCCTGTTCCCATGGTCCTTGGGATGTTGACTGGGTGTCAACCTGTTCCTCCTTTCCTTAAATACCAGGAACCATCAGAACCTTCCATTCCTCTTCTCCAAAGCCTGCTATCAAATCCGGGATCTAGAAGAAAGATTGTTAACCAAGACACATCCTTAACTAGGGGAATGAGTCCCCTAGTTATTGGGACTCATGTGGGTAGGGTGGTAGGGGTGGGAGGTGGGCTCTTTGCACAGGGCGAACTCCATTCCTCCCATATTCCCGTGGACACAAGTGTGTCTGACCACAGCAGCTCACACCACTGATTACCAGGATTAAGTTAGCTGCACTGGTTGACTGAACAGTTGTCCCACTTCCCACATTTCTCCCTGAGCACTGAGCCCAAAGCCTGATGGAGGAAGGTAAACCCTTCAGAGAGCGGAGGCCCTGTCCTCAGTCAAAAAGCTATGAGTTAACCAGGCAGCTCTACTAAGCATGCCACTGCATGTTGCCCACAGCCCAACAATAGACTGAGGATGCCCAATTGGCAATGGTGTCCTGAGCTAGGCTGGCAGCCAGCTTCTCCCAGACTCTTCCAAACCTGCTTGGGCAGCTCTTCGGGGAATGCAAAGAAAGAAGATGAAAGGGAGGAGCATCAAGGAAGTTCCCAAATAGAGGCAAGAGTGAGTAAGTCGTTTCAGGCGCTGACGGTTTACGGACACTGAAATCTGGAGGCCCAGGAGGAAGCCTCTTAATGAAAACGTCTCTTTCAAATGCCATCCAGGATTTTATTTAAAGAAGTGATTCCTTCGGACGTGTGGGTAGGGGGCTCCCAGGGTCTAGGATGCTTAGGGCCAATCAAAGAGAAGCCTCAGGCTGTAAGCTCGACAGAGGGAATCCAGAGCGAGGCATCCCTCAGAGAAGGAACAAGGCACTTGTGTTGGGGGCTGGCACTGTTTCAGCCACAGAAAACAAACAGCACAACTCAAACCCTCCAGGTGACGTTGGAACAGACAGAAAGACACACAGGGGACGAGTGCCTCCTCCTCTCGGAATCCGTCCCCTCTGGCAGCCCGCTCTCCCTTCTGAAGACCTCTGCACACGGATCCACAGAAGAGACCCCTGCGGGGGTTCCCCCACAACAGCAGACCCTGGGGCTCACTCTCACCAGGCACCAGGCTGGACAGGCACTGACACTTGTTTTGTCATTTTGTGCTCACCACAACCTGTGGGGTAAAGACCATTATCATCCTCATTGTCATGACCAGAAACAGGGCTCAGAATGTTAAAGGAGTTGCCCAAGGTCACGTACCCCGTGAAAGAGGCGGCGTGAACCCAGACGTGTTCAGGTATGTTGGGTGCCATACTCTCCCAAGAATCGCGTCCAAGGAAGCCCTGGATGAGGCGTCGGAGATCCCATGAGGCTCAATCCATCCAAGGGTACAAATGGCCAGGTTAACAGCCCAGCTACACGCCAGCAAGGTTTGAGGGGCATTAAAATCAATGTACTTGGAAAGCATGAAAGGATGGTACTTAATTAGGATGGCAACAGCAGCACAGAGCAGTATCATTTTTATTCTCTTTTCAGCTTCTTGTCATAAGGGACCAAAAGTTCAGAACATTTTGGGTTGGGGTAACGGGTTCTTTTCCAACAGAATTTCAGAAAAGTGAGTTCCAATCTCAATTCTGCTCTCACCTGCTCTATGTGTGGCTTTGGGGTCCAAGAAAGGAGGTGAAACATAACCTGAGCCTTGGAAGATGGCAGGATTTGGGGAAGATGGGGTAGAGGGCTGCCAAGGACAAGGTCTGGAGGTGGGCAGACCTCTCCATTGAAAGCAAGGGTCTCCATTCTCAGAAGTAGATGAGCTGTGCCTACAACACTGTCTGCAGTGGCATCATCCCCCACTAGAGTTTACGCACTTACCCGAGATGTTCATTGATTGACTCTTGTTGAAGTAACACCTATTGTACTGATCATGATGCACAAGGTCTATCCAGCACACACAACTCCCATCCTCAAGCCAAATTGGAGAATAACATAAAAAGCTGCCACCACAGAGCGTGGTGACCGTTTTATTAAACGGATCAGATGAAAGGAAGCTATTCATGTTTAAACGGCTCCCTAGGGGTGTCCCAGTCGGAGTTAGAGCCTCCACATCTGATAGACACCTCCAGCATGGAGGCGGATGGGGGGGACACAGCATCCCTGATAGTTACAGTATGATATCAGACCTCGGGCACTGCTTTACACTTTCAAACAAGAACCAACTTGGATTCTCAGAGCAAACAAGCCTAAAGAGAAGAAACTGCTCCCTCAACTTTGAGAGCATGCCCAGTCTCCCAGACCTTCCCAATCTCTTCAAGAATGGCCTCAGTTTCACCTTAAATATTGCATTTGGTTAGGAGAGGAGGAGCCACAAACCCAGAATGGAAGTCAAATTATTCCACAAATATTGCCTACTTAAAAAACATTTTAAAAAATATATCATGTTCAGTGGTGAAGAACTACTAAATTATTGAATTCCCTGAAGCATCCTACAGGCTTTCAAGTAGCTCATGAAGTCCCATAAAAGAATGCAATAGTCGAAAAGGAATGCTGAGCTCCATGTCAGAATGCCTGTATGAGCCAACGCTAAACATCTTCATGTAATCTTTCCACTTAAACCAATGATTAAACAGATGAAACAGATGATTAAACAAATAAAGATTAATGAAACAAATAAAGTAATCAAATCTGTATGGGTGTATAAACGAATGATTCCAGACAATATTAGAACAAATTGTCTAAAACTAATAACAAATGCTTCAGTTCAGTCCCAACAGCTTTTGTTGGGCTCTCGCTTGGATGTAATCAAAACATTTGTTTAAACTAAGATGGATATGAGGCGCTAAGATGTCAGTTTCTTGAAAGAGAAAAATAAAACAAAAGCAATGTCTTCGGTAAGGAGGTTGGCACCGCCAGTGGGGCTGCATTACTGAGGAATCTGCGAACGTTGCGTTAGGGATACATGGAAGTTTAGTATCGCTCTGTTTGGTACAAGAGGCTGTACACACAGGATAAACATAAGCAAGTCGAAAGAAGGTGGATTTGAGAGGGAGAGAAAAAACCGTTCAAATCTCCTCCAGCTCTTTAGAAACCTCTTTTTAATTATTAGTCATTGATATGCTAATTACAACGTGCGCTTATCTGTTCCTTCTTTTCAAGAGAGGCCAAATATTCCCCGATGTACTGTTGGAAGGAATAAGATGGTATTTCTTAGCAAGAATGCTCTATTTAGATTTTTCTTTTCATTAATTAAAACTAGTGAGTTCTTTGACCCTACTTGGAGTAGTTACTTGGTTTCAACCCTGCTCGCTGATTCGGGGGTTCTCACTGGCCACTCACTTGTAATTCCCGGCATAGGGAGTCTAAATACCTGCTAGTCCAAAGCCACGTCATGCGGGAGGCCCAACACCTGCTGCATCGGGATCTGCGTTTTAACATTCATCTGAGGGAGAGTTTGATAAGCACTGATTTGTGTAGTTTGGACCCTGTAAAATTTCCTAGGCAAGTTGGCAAATGGATGAAGAGGGGGGAAGAGCCATTATCATTTTTCAAGGTAAAGCTCTGCAAGAAATGCTTTGAAAAAGTTGCTTTGGGACGAGTCGCTGCAAAGTTTCAGCTAGGACCACAGGGCACGTCGCTGGTAAGTGAAGCGTGCATACGCAGTCCAGTCAGCGGGGCGTGTCTGCTGCTGTGCCCCCTTGCACTGTGTCCTGAGTGTAAGGGAGGGCCTGGTGGGACTGCTGAATGGAAAGCAACAGAAATTAGACTAGTCTAAGCCAGAAAGGTGAGTTATTTGCTTGTTTGTTTTTCATAAATTTACAGAGAGCCTCCCAGAACCCACAGACGGATGCTGCTTCAGGAAAGCACTGGGCTATGGTCTGACAACCCCCAGGATTTCCCCGCCCCCTCATTCTTCTGCTTCTCTCCAGTCTCTGCTTCATGCTCTCTCGGCAAACCAGCTCTCTCTGCCTCTAGTGGTTGCAAAAATTGCAGCTGCCTGCCCAGCGATACCCAGGGACATAGAATACTGCCAGCCACCTAGAGACTTTGTCTCTGAGGCCAAATTCCAAATGCAAGGTGAGAGACCCTGGATCTATTTGGACGGTGACCACTCGATCCAATCAGCTATGGGAGTCAGAGCATGTAGAACAGCCATGCCTATGGGGAACTCACTCCGGTGCGTGGCAGGGTGAGACAGGCAGAGACGACAGAGAGAGGTGTCCTCAGAGAAAGGGAAGTACAGTAACTTGCTGAAGATCACACAGTGGTGGCCCCAGGATTTGAACCCAGAGGTGCCCAGTACAAGCCCCAACCTCCTCTGCTTCCTCGTCGATATCCTCCTGGATCCCTGCCCATCTTTGGTCTGTGTGAGGTAAGCGGAACTTCTCATCAGCCCCCTTCCCCTCTCTTCATGCGGGCCTCTCCCTTTTAGCGCCCAGACTCTGGCCTTCAGTGTCCCCGCATGGCTCAGAAAACACCCTCATCACTTGGGCTCCTTAGTGCTAACAAACTCAGCCCCCGATCTCTGAAGGTGATTTGCTCTCTGATACGGTAAAGTGATCTGTGTGATGTTACGGATGCTAAAGTGATAACATGTCTCCCTCCGGAATAACTCGTTGGTGTTTTAACAGAGGCCTCCTGGAGATGATATCTGCTCTGAAAAGTGGAACTGCATGCAGGGCTGTCACAGTTAACAGGGGAGATACTTGGAAGTGGAATGGCCTTTTGGGATTCCTTACTCATTCCCAAATCAATCTGTTGAGAGAGAGAGAGAGAGATCGAGATAGACAGGAGAGAGAGAAACCTGTGAAAATGTGAGAAACGTGTTAAAAATACAGACGTCCGGCCCGCACCTGGTACGCCGGATCCAAATGCCGGGAGGTGGAGCTGGGGAATCTGCATTTTTAGTGAGCTCCACTCCCCCCCCCACCCTCGTAGGTGACTGGCACAGCCTACCTAGATGAACACTTGGGGACCACTCAAGTGGCTAAATGGGAACCCAGAGGGTCAGAGGAGGTGCCTTGCTCTATGATCAAACAGCAAGTTGGTGTTGGGCTTGAGAACGCTGGGTCTCTTGCCTCACAGTCTATATAGTGGTAGTATGCCCTCAAAGCAGGGCCAGGTGCAAAGAAAAGCAGAAAAAAAAAAAAATCCAAGAGCAAAATAAAAGATAAACTTCCTTAGGCAAGAAGACATATCCAGAAGAGAGTCTTCAATGGGAAGCTGATAGCACCACGGTAAGGACTCCAGAACCGCCCCCTTCCCTGGGCCAACCAGAGTCCTCCTCCGCACCCCCTCCCAGGGCACAGACTCATAGAGATCAGCCCGCTACGCTCCCCACCTATCATTAATACTAAGCGCTACAGGAAGGAAAAGAGCAAAGAGTTCAGAGTCCGAGGGTCTCATGTTCAAGCCTTGGTTCTGTGCTCTGGGGGAGCCGAGAACAAGCTCCCTAACATCTCCACATCTCGGTTCCCATCTGAGCCTCAGTCCCCCTGGAAGCAGAGCCCAGGAAACAGGCTGGCCCGCGGGTTATTTACTTTGGAAGGAATGATGGAACTGGAGCAAAGGACCAGCCAGTGGAACAGGGTGGAATCCCATATAATCCTGTATAATCCCGTATTATTGTCAGCCACTGACAGGTGTGACCGTCTGAGCAGCCTTATGAAATACATCTGTACAACAGTTGCCCTGGGGGGAGGAACAGAGAGAACATTCCTCCACTGGCTTCTACTCATCACTGGTCAAGGGCAGCTCCACGGCTGCCTTCCTACACACTGGCTTCCCTGGATGCCTCATGCTTTGGCATCACAGAAGCCCCAGGGTAGGAAGTGAGAGGTCCGGAGTCAAGCCAGTAAAACCTTCTCAGAACTAATCATCACAGTGACTGGAGCACGACGGAGACAAAGATTTTCAGTGATACCAAAAAGTATGGATTGATAGAGTTCCCCAGAGGGTCATTATAGGAATTACAGGATAAGAACAGAGTTTCAGCCTGGAAACTGAGCTGCAAGAAACAGAAACTTCTGGTTACCACAAGCAGAAAGGACTCTCAGAGTCAACAGGAATCTGAAGAGTAAGACTTAGAAAGCGGGGGGAAAAAGAAGAAAAACGAAGGTAGCTGCAGATGGACAAAGAGCAGAAGGCATAACCAGTTTTTGTAAGAACAGACTGCCTAGGATACAGGCCCCCTGGCCAGGGCCACTGGACTCTGTCATGAATCCATCCAAATGGTATCTTTGTCTTTGATTATTTGTTCATGATTCAGAGTCCAGACAGGAGCATCTTGACTGATGGGACCTGGGCCACGTGTCCAAACCTAAATATTCCCGGACGACTAGATACTAAGAGGAAGCATCTTGCCTTATTTGCTTTCCTAGGTGAAATGTAGGGCTTTGCCTCCCACCAAGACTCACCCAGAGGAATTTGGGATCAGGCAGCCCAAAGAATGAAGAACAACCACTACCTGACAACATGTGAAATATGCCCAGGAAAGGCTGACGCTTGGTAGGTGCTCGATGACCAACAGTTCGTGGCACCTGATGAAGTTGTCACTCTGACTTTCTCTACACCATTCTGAAGCCCGTCCCGTTCTCATACCTCGTATGTGACTGACCAGTGGATTTCTGGAAGGAACAGCAGCCCTCATTAAAGCAAAGCTAAAGCCCCCCCGCCACCGCCCAGGGAAGACTCCCCATGGGAAGGGGTGGCAGTGGTGACAATTTCTCAGCTGTTCTCACTTAGTGTTGCCTCCCTGCAGGGTGCACTTTGATTTCTGCTGCCCAGAGAGATGTCAAGTCTCCTGCAGCAGTCTTTGCTCTACTCAAGCCCTGGAGAGTTCAAGCCTTTATGCTTTGTATTAAAGAGGGAGGCGCTGCCTGGCACCATCGTGGTGCGGTAGCACGTGAGTATAGGAAAGGATTCTAGAGAGTTTCCTCATTGGATGAGGATGCCGAGTTCGGAACAGGTTGTCCAAGATCACACAGCTGGTGACCAGTAGGTCAAGGAAGAGATTCGGTTACAAAAGCCTGTCTCCTCTTCCCTTTGGATTGGTCAGCAACCTGCCCAGCCCCACCCACCCCCGAACATAATGTTTTAACCCAGTCACATCTCTAGAAAGTGCCTTTAAAAAGGCCCATTGGACACAGGACCAGGTAGAGCCCTACTTTTCCCCACCACTCACTCCTGAGCAATAGCCCTTTCCTCTCTCTAGGCATAAGACTGATGATACAGTACTTCAAGGGACCATGACAATGAGCCAGTTAGAGGACCAGGAAGCTCTGCAAACGTGCCAAGACAAGGATTTCTCATCCAGACACAAAACCATGTCCTTCTGGATCTGGAAAGAATTTTGGAAATTGTTAAGTCCAGTTACCTTGTTTTGCCCATGAAGAAAACCCCAGAGATGGACAGTGACTTTCTCAAGGTCACACAGCTAGTCAGTGGCAGACCTAGAGTTTACAGTTGATTCTCCAGGTGTGGTGTTCCTCCCATTCCATGACGCTGGAGAACGTTTCCTGTACCAAATCGCTCAGCAGTTTTGTCATCTCTGGCAAAGCCCTTTGGCAAACTTTCACCCTTCCTTTGTCTTCAAAAACAGCACTCTTCTAGTCCTCTTTGCAATTGTCCACTCGCTGTCTTAAAATTACTGCAGTCTCGTTTGCTTATTTTAGCTACAGTGGGTCTGAAATTTACACTCGGTCTGTGTGAGCTTCTCCAAGCCAGACTCTATCACCAGGCGCGCCTGTCTTTGAGTGGAGGCCATGAAATACAGACCAGTTACGGCCAAAAAAATCAAGGAGGAAAGGATTTAGCGAGCTTCTGCCCTCTCCACATTTCCCGGGTCACTAGAGAAGCTACTTCCATTAAGAATTCTCACTCATCTGTAACCCAGGAAATAAATCAGGTGCTCAACTGAGCCGCACTTCCAGGGTGGCCTCCCCACCAAGCATCGGGGAGTTGGCACCCCGGGCACCAATATTTATAGATCGGGTCAAGCAATGACACGTTAAGGATGTTCTAAGACACAGAGGTCTTTCCGTGCTCAACATCAACAGGGGAGGATGAAGAAAATGGAGCATGGGAGATCTGCAGAACATTTCAAGCAACCTCCAAAGACCTGGAGGGCAGCGTGGGAAGCAGACAGGAACTCCCAGGGGATTTTTAACGTCCACTCCATTAGCCAGTAGCCCCTCCAATTTGAGGTGGTTACTTGAATCGTGGGTGTTTCAGCAAATAGCACGCCTCCCAGCTTCCATCCATCTTTGTATTCCTACAGCGCCTAGCACGGTGCCTGCCACACAGCAGGTACCCAGTGGCTGTCTGATGAGGGAATTAATAGCGGGGTTAACGGCATAAGGCACTTCACAAAATAAAGTGATCCAAGTTTTGCTCACAGAATGAAGCTGTAGCCAACCAGAGGACACTTACTGAGCGACAGCTCGGCAAGGGGCATTGCGCAGGGTGCGGAAGGGTGCCACTGGGCTCCTGCCTTCGAGAACAGGTGATTTGACAGAGGACACAAGTGGCACACACTCGGTGTGGCTGAGGTTTTAAATTTTTAACGTACTTCCTCTTTTTTTTTTTTTTTTTTTGCGGTACGCGGGCCTCTCACTGCTGTGGCCTCTCTCGTTGCGGAGCACAGGCTCCGGACGCGCAGGCTCAGCGGCCATGGCTCACGGGCCCAGCCACTCCGCGGCATGTGGGATCTTCCCGGACCGGGGCACGAACCCGCGTCCCCTGCATCGGCAGGCGGACTCTCAACCACTGCGCCACCAGGGAAGCCCCATACTTCCTCTTTTGCCTGTTTGGAGGGTGACCTTCCTTGTCCATCCCAGGGAACCATGTGCCTGGAAGGAGCTTAGTCTTTGTTTCAAAAGGGACTCGGAAAGAAAGATTGAGGCAATATTCAGTTATTGACCCACAAAATAGGATTATGCATTGGGGCAATAGTTTTGTAAGCCAAGCTATTGTCTCAAAGAGGATTTCTAAATTCCTTTATCTCCTTCATTTGCAAACCAATTGCCTCAGTTCACAGAGTCCCCCTAATGCGTGGACAAATCATGGGCCCAGTTTGCCATTAAGGCTCAGCAAAGATTTGGAGTTAGAAAGGGGGAGATATGAGTGCAGCCCCCCACTGTCCCCCTCCCCCCCCACACCCACACTATATGGCCCACTGCAGCAGGGAGCAGTGAGCCCATCAGCAAGGCTAGGAGGAGACTGTAGGACCAGCGGTCTAGACACAGATCTGGCTGTCCCTCCCCCTCCCCCAATAAGACTGCATCCGTGAGAGTTAAAGAGAGGCTGAGTCAGCCAGGGATGTCCTTGAGCCCCCGCCAAGGCCAAGCCAAGGTCTCCCACTGCCACAGGCTCTGGCAGTGAATGCTCCCAGGCAGGGAGCACAGAAGAAATTCTGCCCAGGGACTTGGACTCATCCCTCACACGCACATAGATTTATAAAGATGTTATAAGCCCCTGTCTATATATACACCTGGACCCCATCTTAGCAAGTGCAGTGGCTAAGTATTTTTACTCAAATAAGTAAAAATGTTCCTAATGGAACCTTTTAAAATGATCAGAGCCAACTATATTCAATCATGTTAGACAATTAGTTTTTTTTTTTTTTCCCACTGCTCATCAAGATTGGGAGGAAAATCTGGCTAGGCACAGGGAAAAAACCAACGGGTTATACTTTATCCGCATATATATATTGCTCTGCGAGTAATCGGATCAGCTATATACACATCTCCTATGCAGGGCAGAGTTGGATTATGGCCAAATAAGTGGAAAGATGGGAAGCTACTGGGAGTCCAGAACAGAATAAGGCAAGGATAGGATGGACATTTCTTGTTTCTCTCTGACCAACTCCCCTTTCTCAGTTCCTCTGGTCATCCTGATTTTCCTTGAAGGACTACACGTCCCCCAGTCCATGTGGTCAGGGTGAGGTTATCAGTCACAGCCCCCCTGCTCCAACCAAGGCTTGGGCAGATACTCCCCTGACCAATCAGAGAAGTGTCTATCAACTTGAATGCAGTGATTGGCTCAGGGTGGATACTGACCCACAGAGGACCAATCAGTCTTCTCTGATCTTTAATATAAAGATGCTGCAGGGGAAATGGATACAAATTGCTTTTAAATTTCAAGCTATAAAGAACCAGGTTTGGGGCTGCCGGGGGCCATACATTTTTACCCCATATGAGGAAGGGCCCTGACTTACAGAGAGAAACAAAGAAAAGAGATAGATGGAGGCAAAGTTCCAAGGGCACAAATTGTTCCCCTGGATCCACCTGCGTCTAAAGTTAACCTTGGATTTCACAGTGACATGAATCACTAGTTTCCATTTTTTCTTCTCAAGCTACTTTGAGATGAGTTTCTTATCATTACCATCAGAGGAAAAAATTACTTATATAGAAATGCCAGGGAGGTTACCTGGAGAAGGTAGGTCTGGAGCTAACCCTTGGAAAATGGGAAGTCTATTTGCTTAAGTTTTTGGTTAACAGAGATGGAGAGCATATAAATTGGAGGAGAGAAAAATGAATGCATGTACCAATGGTGGTATGCAGTATGTGGGGATGTGCAGGAGTGCAGAGAGGAGCAGTGAGACCTAGGGTCAGAGGTTAGGTTGGGCCCAAATTATCTAGACCCTAAATAGCAAAGAGGAGGCTCTTCTTTTTTCCTATAGACAATAGAGATCCTTGCACAGTGTTTGAGCAGAATATGTCAATACAGAAACCGTCTCATGGGAGGATTGCTCTGACCTTGAAGCCAGAAATCTCATACAAAGGAAGCTACATCTCCCAGGTGGTCACCCCCATGCATTCTTTTATGTCAGTGTCTATAGTCACAATCAGAATGAGCACTCTATGAGGGCTCTTAAAGAGCATGGAGTCCCATTCCAACTTTTACAGAAGAGGAAATTGAGGCCCAGAGAGGGTATATGTTTTTCTTGAGATCATCACTAAACAAGCCAGTGGCAAAACCTGGACTAAGGTCTGAGTCCCCACCTGCCTAGATTGTAAAAGAAATGGCAGAGTCTCTCTGTGCAGCTTTTCTTATACGCCAGGTAGGAGGCTTAACACATGTATCAGTTCTCCATTGTTGCATAACAAATTAGCACAAACACAGTAGCTTCCAACAGCACCCATATATTAGCTCAGGGCTCTGTAGGTCAGAGGTCTGGCACAGCATGGCCGGGTTCTCTGCTCAAGGTATGATACAACCAGAATCAGGTATTGGTCAGGCTGAGTTCTCATCTAGAGGTGTTGAGGAAAAGTCTACTTTCAAGCTCATTCTTGCTGCTGGCAGAATTCAGTTCCTTGTGGTTGTTGGACTGAGGTCCCTGCTTTCTGGCTGGCTGTCACTGGGGGGCTGCTCTCAGCTTCTAAATGTCACCCCAAGTTTTTGCTATGTGGCTCCTCCATTTTTAAGCCATAAATGGTGTGTTGAATCCTTCCCATGCTTCAGATCTCTGATTTTCTCTTCTGCAACCAGCTGGAGAAAACTCTCTACTTTTAAAGGGCCAGTGTGATTAGGTCAACCCCACCCAATAATCTCCATTTTAAGGTCAACTGATTAGGGATCTTAATTACATCTGAAAAATCCCTTCACAACAGTACTAAGATTAGAGGTTGATGGAGAGAAGTTATGTGTGCAGTAGGGTCCAGTAATCTAGGCGGTCACCTCTGAATTCTATCCCCACAATACCACAGTGACCCCTGGGATGGGCCACTCATGAGGGGTGTCTAACAGCTTATTTCACTGAATTGGGGTGTGTGTGTGTGTGTGTGTGTGTGTGTGTGTGTGTGTGTGTGTATTGGAGAAAACATACATATACAGAAGGCAAGCCCATCATCTCAAATAAGAAAACAGAGCTTATGGGTCAAAGCAAGCGCCCGTGGCCCTCACAGCCTTCTGAAAAGAGCAGCCCACCCTGCGTCTGGGTTGCGCACCTGTGTTGTTCAGTGGAATCTCCTCAGTATTGACAACACTGTCACCCACTCAGGCGTGCCTGTAAAATTCAGTGCAGCCACTAGCAATTCCTACCATTTGTGGCCTGGCCCCTTCCAACCCTCTCTTGCAACCAACCTAGGAACCTCAAAAGAAGATGCTCTATCCCTCGCCCTCCTGAGCAACCTGCTCTGGTTTGCAGACAGCCTGGAGGAGGCATCAGAGTGGTGGTCTGCGCACTTGGCTGGTGACCGTGCTGCAGCACTATGGGACCCAACACCTACTGGGTCCCTGGCCTGCATCATCTACCAGGGACCCAGGAGTTTCACCTTGGGTCCCATCCAACCCAGCCAAGCACCTTTATGTCAGCAGGTTTGCCCGTGAGCCACGTGGTCAGTCTTCAATAAATGATTGTCACTTAGCTCGTTTCATCAATTCCTTTACAGAGAGCTTGGAAGAGCTGAGAGGGAAAATCTGCTCAAACAGAGAAATCCAGAGGGAAACAAGGTAGAAGGGAGAGCACTGATGTTCTAATTCTGGCCTCTAACCTCTCCCTCTTTTCTACGGGGAGTGCCCACCCTTTGGAGCACCCTGCTTCCTGCCACCCTGGAAGCTCAGAGCCCCTGATGGGCCTTGCAGCAGGAAGCCCGATGTCTGCGAGAAGCAGCGACTGCCACACTGCCTTGTGCTCCGGCAGAGCCCAACTCTGATCCTCCCAGCCTCCAGGAGGTCGGCTCAGCTCCGAGCAGTTTGTTTTTTGAAAAGTCTCATAAATTTCCAAGAAACTTCTCCAGACAACTGTCACGAGGCTGCACCTGCCAAACAAACACAAACAGAGCTCTCCTCCACCAGATTAGTTACTTAATTAAGAAGAGAAAGAGACAAGGCACATAATGTGGAGATAATTACCCACCTTGCCAAATCTCTGAGTGCAGCGTGGCACACGTCGGCAAATTGCAGCACGGCCGCTAATGCATATTCATCCAAAGTTGTAACTGCTGTGAACATTTTCCACACAGACAGCAATATGTTCAACCAACAGTCTGAGCTCCCTCTCGGATTCCAGCATCTTCCCACACCCTTCCCCTGCCTTCCCAGGCTCCTTCCCTGTCTCTCTGTGAAGGAATTTACTAAACAAAGCAAATAGCAAACAAGTTACAAGTGAATGTGATCACAACCCACTCCAGGGATGCTGTTGGGAGCAATCAATTCTGGACCCCAAAACGAGGTGTTTGGGTTTTTCCCCTAACCTATTGACTCATTTCATTTAATCTCATGCAATTGAATGAGAAGGATTTGTTGAGTGTTGGTGTGTTGGCCCGGTGCCCACCAAGTGCTGTGGAGGCACAAAGATGAGTGTGAGGGGGCCTCAGCCCAAGAGGCTCATGGTCCTTGGAGAGAGGAGCTCTCCTCTGTGAGCTAGGTAGGGCAGGTATTATTTTAATCCTCCTTGACAGATGAAAACACAAGGCCAAAGAGATTAAGTCAACTGCTGAAACAACACAGCAACTAATTAGGTGATATGGGCCTTGAACCTATATTATCTGACTCCAAATCCTATGTACAAGGCAGACAAGGGGAAATTCTGCCTTGGAGACAAAGGAGGACAGAATAAAAATCAGAGCCTGGAAAGGCCCAGGAGATGAGGGATCTTCTCCTAGCTTTGC